ATGCCGAATCTTTCAAAAACCATCGGTTTCGGAAGGATTTTAAAATCGTGCGTCCAAAAAACCTACAAGAACCCAAGGTTTCGCAACACGGATTTTCAACAAAAGCGTGCGCGCGCGCTCTTGCGTCGTCGTCGTCGTCGTCCTCCCTCCTCCCTCGTCGTCGTCGTCGTCGTCGTCGCCGTCGTCGTCTTCTGTCTTTCCTCGTCGTCGTTGTCGTCGTCTTGGCGTCGTCGTCGTTTCCGTCGTCGTTGTCGCCGTGGTCGTCCTTCCTCCCTCGTTGTCTTCGTCGGCGTCTCGTCGTTGTCCCTCCTATTTCGTCGCCGTCGTCGTCGTCGTCGTCGTCGTCGTTCTTCACTCCTCCCTCGTCGTTATCCTCCTCCCTCGTCGTCGTCGTCCGTCGTCGGCGTCTCGTCGTCGTCCTTTCATTTCGTCGCCGTCGTCGTCGTCTTCGTCGTCGTTGTCATCGTCGTCGTCTTCCCTCCTCCCTCGTCGTTGTCGTCGTCGGCGTCGCCGTCCTTCCTCCTTCTTCGTCGTTGGCGTCGTCGCCGTCTTCCCTCCTCCATCGTCGTTGTCGTCGTTGTCGCCGTCGTCGTTTTTTCTCCTCCCTCGTCGTCGTCTCCGTTGGCGACGTCGTCGTCGTCTTCGTCGTCGTCGTCGGCGTCGTTGTCGTCGTCGTCGGTGTCGTCGTCGTCGTCGTTGTCGCCGTCGAAAACATTGGAGACGTCGTCGGTGTCGTCGCAGTCGCTGTCGGCGGCGCCGTCGTCGTCGATGTCGCTGTCGTCGTCGGCATCGGTGTCGTGGCCAAGTGCCATGTGGTACCTACCGTCACGGTCTTGTCTGAAGATGTATTGCGACCAAGTTGCGGGTGGGAGGGTGGGATGTTTGCACGAGCAGTGGAGAGGACAGCTTCAAGACGGTCAAGATTTTTTCACTCCGTAGCATCTTCATTCAATTCTGCCGCGACAGTATCAACCAGCACGGCGACGACGCACTTTTTCATGCACGTGATTTTCTGCGCATACGCGTCATGGACGTGATCGGGTAACTCAGTTTTTTTCGGTTTTCGCAATCGTGGAAAATTGAGACCGCGGTCCAGCTCGAACCAACGATACCCTTCAGCATCGTATCCCAGTACCAAACTGCCGATCGCCTTTATTTGCTTCGTGCCTGGAGCAAACCCTGACTTCTGGGCGCAGCCGCACGCATGAATTGCACATCGCAGCGCATCGCGCTGGAAGGCGTCGGCAGCGAAATCTTGCGACAACACACTACAGAGCGTGCCGACATATCGCTGCTCCTGCGGCGTTCCTTCCTTGTACCGGTTTGGATGTGATGTCGCATCATATTCATCATCAGCGCGCTCTCCCTCAACGGCGTCTGTGACGCCCGCTTTATACATAGTGCGCGGAGACAACCGCAATCCCACAGGCAGCATGCTTGGACCAGTTACCGGACGCCGAGTAACATCTCCCTCGCGCTGATAACCGCAGTATGCATCGAACCACGCGAGATCCAACTGTACCCGATACGGTCGGAACTCGAGGCGCCGAAACGGGATGTTGGCGCACGCTTGCATGGTGGACGCCGCCTGGGCAAGCCAGCGCGACACATCTCCGTAACTATACGCAACAAAAGCATTCGTTGTGTCGGCTCCGTTGGTGGTGTCTTCAACGGGGGGGGGGAGGCTGGCACCCCGTCCGAGGACGCGATCCAATGTTTGCAGCGCGCGATCGCATATGTTTTGCCGTCCACTTATAATCACAATGTTGCAGCAGACGGTGTCACACGTCAACAACATGCCGTTCCGTTGCAAAGCCGTTGGAGGATATGTGTTGCAGCGTCGTCCTCTCAGCTTCCCTGCCCGCCAGAGTCGCATCGGCAGCAACCAACGCAGTGAAACAACCTGAGAACGTGCAAACCATCATTGGGATACCTCCGCATGAACACATAATTTGATAGCCCATTTCTAAGAAGCTGCCTTCACGCGGCATACAGTTGTTTGAAGTATCAGATCTGACGGTTTAAGCAAGGAGACGAATGACTAAACTTTAGCGTCCCAAGTATGTCGTCGACAGAGAGCGATGTCTTGTCCAGGGTCGCTTCTCTCAGCTTTTGTGGGCCCTGTGGGGGATTAAGCCAGAATGTTTCTCCCCATGTTCGTGCATCTTTCAACCCATGCTTTTTCAACAGAGCATGGCCTTCTTGTGCCAAATCGCCATCAGCACCGCAGCAACTCATAGGCAGTACGTGTGCACGATAAAGATATACAATGGTAACCAATGGTCTGTTCAGTGGCCCTCATTTTTTGGTGCAACGTTCGTATGCTCGCTTTACGGCAACCTTTTGCAAAACACCGCCGGATGCATTTCTAACCCCGCCTGGGCCACAATGGCTACGGAGTTCGCGGATCGTGCTCTGTCGCAGCAGATTGTCTCGAGGAGGCGGCTCCGTTGCGCAGGAACATTGCATCATGTTGCAAGCAAATGAAGTGTACATCTGCATCACAGCAATGGAAGAAACATGGAATTGGATATGCGATGCTAGTGGCGGACGGAAAGGTAGCGGAGGGATGGGATGAGGGCAGGAGAGAAAGAGAAGCATAAGGAAGAATGAAAGGCCCAATCCAGGCATAAGGGAAAGCAGGCCCTAGGGGAAAACAGTGGAGCCAAGGCTTTCGGAAAATTAGCAGGCAAAGCAGACGACCCGAAACATCAATAACACCGTGCACATTCGACGAAACCACCATGAATCTGGACACAACAAATCAAAAACAGCCGAAAAGCTGAACCATGATAAAAACAACGGGGAATTTCCAAGAAACCATTATTGATGTATCGAAACCGGCTAAGTTCTTTCCATATTTTTCATCGAATTCCAATGATTTCTTTGATTGGTCCTGGTGTGTTTCCTGAGGGTTTGTTTGCTTTTCGGGATGTTCCGAAGGCCTTGCTTACACCACACAAAGAACAACGCACACCATATCATACCGCACATCACCGAATCGAACACCTACACGACATCCAAGTGCTTGAAACGCCCACGCCATGTACCGCCCTATTCCCCCTACCTCGGCGTCGCCAGCGAACCGCCTAGACCGATATTCGGGAGGATCGAACTTCGTACGGAAACAATGTGTACGAAACCCAACAGCAGTTTATGTTCATTCTGAACAGGATCCGCTGTCGGTGTCGCGGCGATTGTTGTTCATCTGAAGCAGAAGGCTTCCTGCCCAACAGCCGTCCGTTGCTGGTTTTGGACAACACTTGTTGTTGGCAATCGTACCCACTCATTCCGCACCCATTTCGGGCGCCCAAAGGTACCCCGACCCCACCTGAACATTTCCTCACATGTGCGCTTTCCCCGAAGATCGAACTTCGACGATCGAGTCTCTCTTGGATGTGCTCTTTGCCCCCTGGCCCCCCGTCCAGCTCCCCGTCTCCACTCCACGGCTGCATTTCTCTCTGGCGTTTTGGTCAGAAGGCACCCACGCAGAGGGCCGGGGGAGCGACGTGGGCCCCCCCCGATCCCAGACCTCCCTCGCGCCGTGCACAGCCTCGGCGGGTGATTCAGCATGTCTTGAGCCGACTTACTCCCCCCCCCCCGCGCGGTCAATCAACTAGTTACAGTAACCAGCAATAAGTCAATCAGTTACAGTAACCAGCAAGAAGCATAACTGTAACACCGGAAATTACAACCTACGACTGGTACAGGAAACTGCGAATCACGGGCCTACAGCCTGGTGGCCGCACAAGGGGGCCGGCGGATTTACAGCTGGTGTTGTTCTGCAAACACCATGGGCTTCTACACGCTTGGGCCCCCTCGAGGGTCGGCCGGCGCGCGCCGGGCACACATTGGCTCGGCCGGCGCGCGCCGGGCAACACATTTCCCCCCCCCCCCCCGTAGTCGGAGAATGCGAGATCCGTACGGAAAATGTCCGTACACAGTGTTTGGTTTCCGTTTGGGTTCACGCTGTCTGAATTTGTCTCCCCTGACAGGATGCTGAATGTTCGCGCGGAGTCAGCACGGAATGCTAAGCCTCCGTTTGGGCTTTTCCCGACAGGATTCAGCCTCTCCCTGACAGGGTGCAACATGGAGAGCTCGACCTCCGTATCGGCTTACCCCGTCTGGACCCGGCGTTTCTTTGTCAGGATGCTAAAAGTAGCGCTCGGCCTCCGGCTGGGCTTCCGCCGTCTGTACTCGGCCTCTCCTTGGCAGGATGCCCGAAGTAGTGCTCGGCCTCCGTCTGGGCTTACGCTGTTTGGACTCGGCCTCTCCCTGACAGGATGCTGGACGCCCGTGCGGAGCAAGTCCACACGGAGTGCCCGGCCTCCGTCGGGGCTGTTGTTTCAGTCTGGATTCGGTCCCTCTCGACCTGTGGGGTGTCGGAAGGGCCGCGGGCCTGGCCCAGTGCCGCGAGTGCCCGCGCTCGCGCGCGGGGTTCTGCAAAGCCTAAGTGACCCAGGTTTGCATTGTTCTAGGTCGGTGCGTTTTCGACAGGTGCCGCGGCCGCGCGGCGTGGTAAAAGGGTGCGCCGCGCGGTGGCAAGAGGGGAAGAGCGCTGAGGGATGTCGAGCAGCGCGGTTGCGTTCTTCCCCCTTGGCTTGGTTGGCTCCCGCAGCGTTGGCCCGACGGGCCAGTCGGCCCAGAGAGCCGGGACGATGTTTTGGGTAACAGGAGGGTGGTTGAACATCGATTGTTCGAGGTTTGAAGCATCGTTCGGAATCTACGAATTTTTCGGGACAGCTCGGATCGTATCTCTGTCCACCATCTTGATCTCTCGGACGGGCCTCGAATCGGAAAAATCGGCCCAGATCGTCTCGGAGCGCTCTCAGAGCGTTCCAGAACGCTCCGGATCGGCCGCGGCGCCCGGTGCGTCCTCCAAACCCACTGATTCTCAGAGATTTGCGATTTTCATCGGCCTTTTTTTTGTTCTCGATTTTGCCTCCGTCTATCGTTTTGAAAAAGCCTTCCCCACCCTTCTCTTTGGGCGCCGCCGGCAGGAGGCGGCCCCGCGGAAGTTCGCCGTGGAGCGCCAGGACGGCGCTGCCGCGCCGCCCACGCGCCCACCGCCGCCGCTGCTGTCCCGGCGCCGTGGGAGGACGGTGCTGGGCGTTCTTCGCCATCGGCCACGCGCGGAGGGGGGTGCGGTGGGAGGGAGAAAGGCTTCTGAGAGACACCCCTGCTCAGAGCCCCGAATCATCAGGGGTAACTCGGGTCAGGGTTAACTCGGGTTCGTTTCTCGGGATTCCGAACCCGAGTTACCCCGGACCCGAGTTACCCCGGATAACTCGGGCGCCCAACCTGCTCCTCAGAATGGCGCGGGCCTTGTCTGCAGATGTAGGGCCCGCGACTTCTAAGGAGCAGGGGTGCTTCTAAGAAGCCTTTCCCTCTTCCCCTGCCCCGTGGTGCGCGCCGCCGAGGGGGTCCAAACACATGGGAGCTTGCTATTTAGAGGAGGAAAGGTACCGATACCGCTGTTGTTGAGTTGTTGCATCGTTTTTCCTTTTTTGAGCCTCCTGGGAGACCCTCGTCGCCACAGCTGGATCCGCCTAGACATGCTAGTCAGAACGCGCCACAAGAGAGGTCGGGGGAGTAGCCGTATCCGTCTTTTTTATTTCCCATATCTACCTTCGAAACTCCGTGGATTAGCGTCTCGTAGTCGATGAGATAGCGTCGGATTAGCTTCGATTGGCGTCGATGGAGCGTCGATCTGAGTCGTCGCGATCCTCCGATCACATCTAATCGGACCCCATCTATGGTGCCTCTATCTTCGGACTCCCGGGGTGCTCGCGGATCGATCCTGCGGAATCGTCCAGACGGACGAGACGTCTCCATACCGGGGAGAGGGCAACCCTCAAAATGAATCCGGGGTCCAGGTGGGGGCGGGGGGAAGCTGGTTTCGGCCCCGCTGCCTGTCGCGTTCCTCGGTGCATGGTCGCACATGGTGCCCCACGGCACCTGGAAAACCAGATTCACGCAGTTCGTTCTATCCTTTTCGCTTCTCGCATCTCCTCCCCCATCGACCAGATCATGGCTGCTTTGGGGGGCTGCTTCTGGCGACTAGTCAGGACCCCCCCCAGCCTGCTTGGGCGACTGGAAGGACAATATTGACAAAGCACCAGCCCAGGCCCGAACCCCTCCCTCCCCCACCCTTCGGCCACATGTCAAAACCTTGAGTAAAAACACTGTCTCCGTCCCGGGCGATGCATCGGCGATGCAGCGCGATCTTCCGATCCCGTCTGCACGGGCCCGATTTAGCCGGCCCTTCTGTGCCACGTCAAGAGGCTTCTTAGCCGACATGTATTCCAGATTCTTCAATAAGCAACCCCACATGCCATTCCGCCCGACGGTCCGTTCCAGCCCCCCCCACGCGCACCGAACCCACCCCCTAGAGCGAGTCAGCCGCTCCACGCCCAGCGCCGGACAGGCTCGCTCCAACCCCCCCACGCGATCCCCCCCCCGCCGCGCTGATTCAACTAGCTAGAGTCGGAGTTTGGGGGGTGAGAACTCAGTGGAACGGAGACCCCCAACCGGGAAATCGTTTCGTTTCGTTCGTGTCGTGCGTGCGGGCGAGGCGAAGCTGCGTGGGCGCGCGAGAGGAATGAACCTGCCGTTGCTAGGGCGAAGTTAAGACAAATGATTCTCCCCCGTCCGTCCGTCTGGCGGTGTCCCGCGGTGTCCCGCGGTGTCCCGTGGTGTCCCGTGGTGTCCCGTGGTGTCCCGTGGTTTGTTGTGCGTGTGGGCGAGGCGAAGTTGCGTGGGCGCGCGAGAGGAATGAACGCGCCGTTGCTAGGGCGAAGGCAATACAAATGATTCTCCCCCGTCCGTCCGTCCGGCGGTGTCCCGCGGTGTCCCGTGGTGTTCCGTGGTGTTCCGTGGTGTCCGTTGAGTGAGATCGATATTGAGATCGATATTGAGATCGATATTGAGATCGATCTTGAGATCGATGTTGTGCCGAGGTGTCCCGTGGTGTCCCAAAAAGTGAGATCGATACTGAGATCGATACTGAGATCGACAGGTGTCTCGTGGTGTCCCGTGGTGTCCCGTGGTGTCCCGTAGTGTCCCGTTGAGTGAGATCGTTAGTGAGATCGATACTGAGATCGATACTGAGATCGATGTGGTGCCCCGAGGTGTCCCGTGGTGTCTCGTGGCGTCCTATGGTGTCCCGTTGAGTGGGATCGATAGTGAGATCGTTAGTGAGACCGATAGTGAGATCGAGAGGTGTCCCGCGGTGTCCCGTGGTGTCCCGTGGTGGCCCTTGGTGTCCCGTGGTGTCCCGTTGAGTGAGACCGATAGTGAGATCGATAGTTAGATCGACAAGTGTCCCGTGGTGTCCCGTGGTGTCCTGTGGTGTCCCGTGGTGTCCCGTTGAGTGAGATCGATAGTGAGATCGATTGAGTCAGATGTTGGTTCCCCCCCTCTCCCCCCCCACAACCTTATCACCCGAAGGGTGGTCGTATAGTTATCTCTTCAGTTTCCACTTCACCCTTCCGCGTTGTCCCGCCCTCTTGGCGGCCACGCCCCCGCAAGCCTGCCATTTCGTTGTTGCAAGCTCAGCCCCGCGAGCCCGCCCGGCGGCCCGGCAGAAGTTGCTGCTCACGGTGCAGGGCGCTGTGCTCCCGACCTACGGCTTCCGAGGAGACGCGCGGGGAGTGTTCGACATGGTCATCGGGGGTAGGTGGAGGGAGGAGGAGGAGGAGGAGGAGGAGGAGAAGGAGGAGGAGGAGGAGGAGGAGGAGGAGGAGGAGGAAGAGGGGGAGGAGGAGGAGGAGGAGAAGGGGGAAGAGGACGAGGAGAAGGAGGAGGAGGAGGAGGAAGAGAGGAGGAGGAGGAGGAGGAGGAGGAGGAGGAGGAGGATGACGACGATCACGAGGAGAAGGAGGAGGAGGAGGAGGAGGAGGAGGAAGAAGAATAGGGAGGAGGAAGGAGGAGGAGGGAGGAGGGAGGAGGGAAGTGGGAGCAGGGAGGAGCGAATAGGCTCGAGGATTCATACTTTCTGGGGTGCGTTTTGCCCGCTCTGAAGCTCTGGGAGGCGTCTCGTCGTCATGGCTGGACCCTCCTCGAAATTCTGGCCAAGCAGCATCCCAGGATGGGCCCAGGGCATGAGTTCTGAGGGAGGAGAGCGAGGAGGAGGAGGAGGAGGAGGAGTGTAAACCCAAGACGCATCAGCGATGTTGCAGCAAACCCTCCCTTCAAGTTCCCTTGTCACAGGTCGATACAAGAATGTGTATTCATTGCGGAAACGGCCCCGTTGGAGGACAACCGTTTGAGAATCCTCAAGTCTGCCACAAACCATTCTTGAGACTTCAACACCGTGAACCAACGTGACTGCTGCGCCCTGACAGTCCCACATCGTGCCAGAAGGCCGTTCTTGTTGCGTCAACTATAGGAAGGTTTGAATATGTTGTGAATGCTTACGACGAACTTGTGCGGCGCTAAGGCGAGAGCCACATAGTGAAATTGAGCCGCCGTCCGTCCAGAAAACTCGTGCAAATAATTTAGACGACTGCGCGCGGCGCTAAGGCGAGCGCCATATTCTGAAAACAACCTGCCCTCCACCCAAGAAGCTCTTGCTCACTTTTAAGACGAACATGCGCTTCGCAGGGCGAACTAGGCATGTTTTAAAGGAACTGCCCTCCATCTGTGAGACTTCTTGCAAACTTATGAAGACGAATGTGCGCGCCGCCACTGCGAAAACAACAGTTTGAAATGAGACGCCCTCCAGTTGTGAAACCCTTGCAACTGTCAGAATTAATGTACGCGGCGCTGAGGCGAGCGCCACATTTTGAAATGGAGCCGCCCTCCATCTGCGAAGACCCTGCAATTGTTTAAGACCACGTGTTGAAATCGACCCGTCCTCTATCCGTGAGGCTCTTGCAGACTTGTATGACGACCTCGGCGCTAAAGCGAGAGCCAGATTTTGAACACGACCCACCCACCGTCCGTGAAGCTCTTGCGAACTGTCAAGACGAATGCGCGCCGCCTGAGAGCCATGTTGTGAGAACGACTCGTGCTCCATCCTCGTTGCGAGGGTAATAAGCTGTGAGGAAGTCTCACAACACGCTTCGGGCTGCGACAGGGACGAGGCATTTTCGCCGCGCGGCCGCGTCTTTCCATCGGGCGCTCGCTGCGCTCGCGGCGCGCCCTTGCCGCAGGCTCGGCGGACGACGGCGCCTGCCCGCTTCCGCCGGGCCCTCCCTGCCCGGGCGGACGGCCGCGCGGTCCTCACGGAGCAGCAGCTCCGTCAGTGGGTCGCCGCTCACGCGGCGGGCGCTCCGTGCTGCCTCGACCCCGCCCAGGCGCCGCCGTGTTCCACGCGGCCAACGGCGCCACCATCGGCCTGGAGAGGGCGCCCCGCGGGTCGTTGGAGGGGTCTTTTTCGACTCCTGGGAGGGCTAAAAAACGACACCCTCACGAGGATTCTGGCCGCTCGGCGAGGGCGGCGTGGGCAAAAGGTCCAGGAGGCCCTGCCACACCGGGCACTCCCGTGGAGCACCGCGCGGGCGGGCACCCCGCCCCCGGCCCCATGCCGCGGGCCCTGCCGCTGCCCCCCGGGCGGGGCGGCGGCCTCTCCTGCTGCGGGGCCCCGCCGCCCCCGCGCCGCCGCCGCTCCTGCCCGCGCAGCCTCTAACTATAGCAGCGCTCTCGCCGTGCCCGGCGCGCCGGGCGCGGTCGCCGCTGGGACCAGCGGCCTGCCACGCGGCCGCCGCAGAATTCGCTTGCCGCCTGTTCGATCGGGGATGGCGTCTCCGGCTCCTCGGTCGTCGTCCTCGCCGCCGTGGCCGCCGCCGCCGTCGCGGTCGTGGCGCACCTTCCCCGCATGTCGTTGTCAGGATGGGGGTGCGGGAGCGGCAGTAATTAGCATACGAGGAGGTCACGCTCGCAGTGGTGCCGCGCACTTGTGCGCCGCCATTGGGCGAGGTGGCAGGCTGGCATTGCGGGGGCCCTGAACATTGTATTGCAATCTCGAGACCGGGCTCCCGCGATGCGGGCGCGCGCGCGCAGGGCATTTGCCCCGCTGCGTGAGCCCACCCCCCGAGTCCCCTCGTCCAGCGTTTCTACAAGCGTTTCTTCTCATTGCGGAAACCGCACCCTTGAAAGATGAACGCTCCACGGGTTTGCCACTAGGGCGAGAGCCGCGTCTTCAAAAAGGAATTGCCCTACATCATGTTGCTTTTGCGGAGTGCACAGAGCAAGGTGCGAGCATGAAGGCCCATGGGATTTCATCCGGTACATCACCTTCGAAAACCGACTGCCCCCGTTTCGCAATAGTCGATGTCCGACACTGCTTCATCGAGGAAGCTTGTCTTTGCATGTTGCGCGATGATGAAAATGGAGAGCCCCATTGTGTAAATCATCCGCTCTCCACTCTTGTTGGACATGGAAGTTGTTGAGTAGAGTGTGCATTGCGCTGAAGCGAGAATTACCGTACGAGAACACCACGTGCCCTCCATGCCTGTAGCCGTTGAAGAGTTTTCAGACGAAAGCGCGCGGCGGCACGTGTTGAGACGACCCGCGCTCCATGGCAATTGCCGCTGGTAACTTTTCGAACGCTCTTGGACGCTGTTGGTCCCCTGTGAACCCTCGGAGGTCTCCGGTGGACCCCCGGAAGCATCTGCAGGCCTCCATCAGGCCCCCCGCAGCTCCAGGGCCCTCCAGCGGTCTTCGGCTCTGCGTCGCGCTGATCCTGGCGGGGCCCATCCTGGGGTCCGGGATCGGCGCACGTTTTTTTTTTGGTCAGGATTCACGAACGACGATAATACGGTGGGTGCGCGATCCCATAGATGCAAGTTTTCAAGCGGGGCATTTGCGCACAAATGGCCCTGTATGCATGGGGGCGCCGACCAGGATTTCCTCACCGGGAGGCCTTGGCCATCGACGCGGTTGGCCAGGATCGGCGTGCAGTGTGGCTGGTTAGCCTGAAGTCGGGCACGTCCCTCTACAGGAGGAATATTCAAGAACAGTAGCAAAAATAGTCTGGGGACGATGTTTCGACCATGTTGGGCTGTTGTGGGGTATTTTTTTGTATGTTTCATTTTTCGTCCAACATCCACCTGTAGGGGGACATGCCCGACCTAAGGTTAGCCCGCACCCGCCCCAGGTCAGCATGCTCTCCTCCACGGCAGAGTTCTTGGAGGATGCGGAGTTCATGAGAAACGGGTTCGCCCGCGGCCCTCCCCTCGCCACGACACCCAGGACAACTTGTGCTTCTTGTTACTCCGCCTTCCCACAGACCTTCTGCCGTCGTGAACAAGATAACTGACGTTGTTTTTTTCCCAACCATCCTGTGGTGTTGGGTCCTCGTTTTGAAGAGACGGTGCCCCGCGTCCCTTCCTTCCTTCCTTTTTCCTCCTCCCCCGCCCCCCTCCTCCCCCTCCTTGCCTCTGCTCTCGGCACCATCTCACACGTTTCGTAGCCCCATAGGGAGCTCCACCGAAGGTCCCAGTGAGGGGGGGCGCATGCGGTTCCCACACCCAGGGCAGCGTTTCGTGGCCCCATAGGGAGCTCCACCGAAGGTCCCAGTGGGGGTGGGCGCATGCGGTTCCCATACCCAGGGCAGCGTTTCGTGGCCCCATAGGGAGCTCCACCGAAGGTCCCAGTGAGGGGGGCGCATGCGGTTCCCACACCCCGGGCAGCGTTTCGTGGCCCCATAGGGAGCTCCACCGAAGGTCCCAGTGAGGGGGCCGCGTGCGGTTCCCACACCCAGGGCAGCGTTTCGTGGCCCCATAGGGAGCTCCACCGAAGGTCCCAGTGGGGGTGGGCGCACGCGATTCCCCCACCCAGGGAAGCGTTTCTTGGCCCCACAGGGAGCTCCACCGAAGGCCCCAGTGGGGGTGGGCGCATGCGGTTCCCCCACCCAGGGCAGCGCTTCGTGGCCCCATAGGGAGCTCCAGCGCATGCGGTTCCCCCACCCAGGGCAGCGTTTCGTGGCCCCATAGGGAGCTCCACCGAAGGCCCCAGTGGGGGTGGGCGCATTCGGTTCACCCACCCAGGGCAGCGTTTCGTGGCCCAATAGGGAGCTCTACCGAAGGCCCCAGTGGGGGTGTTCGCATGCGTCTCCCCTGCCCAGGACAGCGCTTCGTGGCCCCATAGGGAGCTCCACCGAAGGCCCCAGTGGCTGCTCTCGCATGCGGCCCCCCCGCCCAGGGCAGCGTTTCGTGGCCCCATAGTGTGCTCCACCGAAGGCCCCAGTGGCTGCTCTCGCATGCGGTTCCCCCACCCAAGGCAACGCTTCGTGGCCCCATAAGGGGGCCCCACCGAAAGCGGCACCCACAACGCGTTACGAACAATTGCTTCTGGTTGGGTCCTTCGCCAGGATAATTGTTTTGCGTATTCTTGCAACTGGGGGCCACGACAGTGCCCCACGGTCTTGAACACAAAGGGGCAATTTCGAAAGTGCGGCTGCCATGGTCGTTCTCCTGCCCCGCCTCCCCTAGCAGACCGTACCAACGAGGATCCCGAGTTCGTTTTTGGGGGGCGTCCGGCCCGTGCTATATACAGCCCAGCGTTGTTTTGGTAGTCGAGCGTGTGAAGGTGAGTTTTGCCTGGTCAGCGCCCGTTCGATTCTTGACGCGTTCACGCAATTTGCTCCGACATGGTATTTTTTCCCAACCATCCTGTGGTGTTGGGTCCTCGTTTTGAAGAGACGGTGCCCCGCGTCCCTTCCTTCCTTCCTTCCTTCGTTCCTTCCCTCCTCCCCCTCCTCCCTCCTTCCCATCCTTGCCTCTGCTCTCGGCACACCTCTCACATTTCGTAGCCCCATGGGGAGCTCCACCGAAGGTCCCAGTGAGGGGGGGGCGCATGCGGTTCCCATACCCAGGGCAGCGTTTCGTGGCCCCATGGGGAGCTCCACCGAAGGTCCCAGTGAGGGGGGGCGCATGCGGTTCCCACACCCAGGGCAGCGTTTCGTGGCCCCATAGGGAGCTCCACCGAAGGTCCCAGTGAGGGGGGGCGCATGCGGTTCCCACACCCAGGGCAGCGTTTCGTAGCCCCATGGGGAGCTCCACCGAAGGTCCCAGTGAGGGTGGGCGCATGCGGTTCCCACACCCAGGGCAGCGCTTCGTGGCCCCATAGGGAGCTCCACCGAAGGTCCCAGTGGGGGTGCATGCGGTTCCCCCACCCAGGGCAGCGTTTCTTGGCCCCACAGGGAGCTCCACCGAAGGCCCAAGCGGGGGTGGGCGCATGCGGTTCCCCCACCCAGGGCAGCGCTTCGTGGCCCCATAGGGAGCTCCACCGAAGGCCCCAGTGGGGGTGGGCGCATTCGGTTCCCCCGCCCAGGGCAGCGTTCCGTGGCCCCTATAGGTAAAACCACCGAAGGCCCCAGTGGCTGCTCTCGCATGCGGTTCCCCCACCCAAGGCAGCGCTTCGTGGCCCCATTAGGGGGACCCCACCGTAAGCGGCACCCACAACGCGTTACGAACAATTGCTTATGGTTGGGTCCTTCGCCAGAATACTTTTTTGTATTATCCGTCGCCATTTGGGTTTACGAGTGTAATGGGGAGTTTCAGGTTGTTCTATCATGCGGGGGCGTCGTGGACGAGAGGCCTCGTGGATGCCTGTCGGGAGGGCTGTTGGATGCCTTTCGGAGGCCTCTGGGGGGCCTCTTCGGGTCGTTTTAAGCGCGTCTGGGGGGCTTGAGGATGCATGGGGTCTTGAGACCCACATTTTGGGACCAGTCTCACGGCCCTTTCGTTTCCCCCGTCTTGGAAGCTTCTTTGGGGCCTCTTGGGCTACCTTGGAAGCATGTTTGGGCAGTATTTGGGTCAAGTTGGGACTTCTTGAGCAGCATTGGCGCAATCTCTTGGCCTCGTCGGCCGTCTTAGAGCGCTGGAAGCCCGAAAAGGCGATAACGCTGAAACCGTTCGAAACCGCATAGACAGCAGATGTTATCCAGCGCGGGACCGACACAGGAAGTTGTGACATTTTGGATGCGTAAGGTATTTGGTGCAAGCTATGTGACGTAAGCTACGTGGTCCCCTATGTGTGTGTGCAAGCTAAAGAGGCGACCACGGGCGGCAACGTGGCGAAGTTGTGCCAGACCCACCCAGCGCACGAGAGGCCACGAGGCGGCCACGGGTGCGGCAGCGTTGCGAAGCCTCGCACCCTCCCGGCGCAGGAGGCGGCCACGAGGCGGCCAAGGGGGGCGACGTGGCGCAGCCTCGCCAGACCCGTCCAGAATGTTGTGAGACAATTGTTCAGCAATTCCAAGCAAGCAGTGTTAGGGAAATTCTGCTTACTTGGGACCGTCTTCGGGGTCCTCATGTGTCCGTCTCGGAGGGTATTGTGAATAGTTTGGGCCGTGTTCGGTCCATCTCGGCCGTCGGAGCGTTCTTGTGCCAAGAAAGGCAGCCCTTTTGGATCCTCTTTAGCTTTTCTTGGGATCCGTTTGGCCCCTCTTTCGCTCACTGGTCGTTGGACTGGTCTCGCGGCCGAGGAAGCATGCGAGGCGCCACAGGAGGCAGGCGACAAAGTCCTGGACTCGGGCCTATCCGTCATCTTACAGCTTATGCGCAAGATTTAGCATTGAGGACCGAGGACTCCTCAGGATCTGCGGCGACTTCGCTTCGTGCCGCGAGGAATGATGGCGAATATGTATATACACATATATATATATATATAATTATACGTATATAGATATATCGCTAGATATATGAACAAACGCACGGCTATACGGAGCTGACAAGTGCGTAAAGAGTTTCTGAGTATTCGATAGGCCGAACTTTAGTGCATTCGGATTTTGTTTTGCATTTTCATTTTTATCATGCGGAACTGTTCAGTGCTAGAATACCAGGTGTGGACGCAATGAACATTAGTTTTCGAGTTGAGGGAGGCACCAGCCACAGGCCGTAAGATCGAAGCGAATCTAGTTGTGACCACCAGGGTCCTCTCCAGGAGTTCCAGGAATGGCGAACACACGTGAGCATACTTTTCTTCCCCGTTTCACCATCATCCTCCCGCTCCTCCCTGTCCTCCTTCCTCTTCTCTGGCCCGGCGCAGGTTCCGGCTGGATCGTTTGCTCTCCCTGGCCGACGCGCCGACTGCCAAGGTCGAGGGCACGGCCAAGGGGAAAGAGTGTGGAGAAGTTGCTTCGGTCCCACTTGCCGCCACCACACCCTTCGCGTTTCTCCGCCGCTGCACGCAATGTCTTTATCCACATCCAGTGCGTCTTGGAGTTTCGGACTCTCTTCCCAAGAAACATGAGGCGCACTGTATATGGATTATAATATGCCTCCAAACGGCTCAAGTTTTTTCCATATCCAGTGCGCCTCGGCCTTGCGGCGCCTCTTCCAAGAAAGTCCAAGACGCACTAGATATGGATATAAATATTGCCCGCAGCAGCTTCTCCTTCGTTCGCCTCTCGGCTACCGCTACCATGAGATCTGATTGCTCTTCGTAGTCCAGTTGCTACCACCACCGCTAGTTATATCGCTTCGATGGCGACGACTAAGGAGGCCATGCCCGAAACTAGTTCAATGATTGAAATGCTTGCTCAATGGCGTACCGTTGGTATTCCTACGCGTGCGAGCAGCACTACATCTACTAGTACGAGTGCGGCTCCTTGTACTACTGCCGTTGACGATCTTCACCGCGATTATTGCAATGATTGCCATGACAAAGGCCAGTGTTGTTAGTCTGCCAGACTCTCAGGGCTTGTGTTGTTGCCGCCGTTGCCGCTAATAGTGCAGACTCTTCACGTAATCCCACCCTCCAGAAACGATGCCCAGGCGAGTTGCCCTGATCAGGGACGTTGAAGAGCATGCAGTGAATATAGGGTTGGGGAAGCCGTCATACCCCAAGAAGGGGATCATGGATGGGGAATCGGAGGAGGAGGAGGAGGAGGAGGACGACGACGACGACGAGGAGGGGATGGGAGAGATAGAGGAGAGAGAAGGGGATGGTAGAGATAGAGGAGGAGGAGGAGGAGGAGGACGACGACGACGAAGAGGGGATGGGAGCCCACGGAGTGGGGAGGGGGTGCATAGTATGGAGAAACAGTGGTAAACCTTCCCCGAAAAAAGAGGAAGGGGGAGATGGAAGAGCAGACGCTCTAAATCACTGACGCACAGAGGGTTGGTGGGATTTCTTCTAGAGGGTAACACGCACTCCACGAACCACCACCATGGCACATTTAGCCACAACCACTGCTACCACAGCCTCCGCTGCCTCTACCACTCTGCTCCAAGGCCATTTTGGCTCTAGCCGTGGGCTGCGAGAAATCCGCTCCCAACCGCTCGACCTTGATCGTTTGGGCGCCCTCGGGTTTCGGCTGCGCCGCGCGGCAGGCGCGCGGGCCCGTGCCCCCGCTGTTTCTCCAACCCCTGCTGCCTCTTCGCGGCGGTCGTCTCGGTGGCGTTGTTCGCCCGGGTGCCGCGAAGCATGGCCGCCTCCGCGGCTCGCTGGGCGTGGCCGCGGCTGCCTGCGTGGCGGCGGCGCCGCCTCCGGACGAGCTGCGGAGGCGGGCGCGGTGCCCGACGTGCTCGCCGGTGTTTGCGGCCGCCGGGCTGGCGCGGGCGCCGTGCGCGTCCGCGCCGTGCGGGGGCGATTGGCGGCCGCCGCTCCTGCGCGAGCTTGCCAGGCCGAGGGCGCGTCGAGCGTGAGTGGCATCGGTGCCGCGATTGCCGCCACCTGCACAGTGCTTCCGTCGTGGATCGCGGTGCCCGGGTCTCCAGTTCCCCGCGGCGTGGTGGCCGCTCGCGTCGACGCTGACGGGTGCCAGTCACGGTGCCGGCCGCGGTGCACACGCAGTGCTTGGGGCATTGGCTCGCGCGCTTTGGGGCAGCGGATGCTCTGCTCGAGCGCTCGGCCTCGGCCCACAGCCTACAGGCCGTTCGTTGAAGTTGAGTTGGCTCCACGGTTCCAGAGTACTTACATGTGCCCTCTTTTTCCAAACATCCATTGTGGGTTCTTTCGAACGGCCACTCGATCGTAGCCCAAGAGGTTGCTTGACTTGCAGGCGTTCCCTCGCCTCAGGTTCAGAGTTTCAGCGCGCACCCCGAGGCGTGCAGCGCTGCCAGCCGCCGCCTACATTCAGGTTGTATGGTTGCGGGAGCGTGGAGCTCAAAAGAGGTTCTTTCAAACTGCCGGAGTCGCGAACTTCCACCCAAGCCTCGCCCCTGTCATCGACGGCTTCTCCGAGGTCACGCAGGTCTCCGGCACCTGCGCGCGGGCAGCTTCAGTATGTTTCGGCATCCAGGGCCCACCTCCACCCGATCGATCCAACGCGGCCCGGTGTGTGCACGCCGTGGTTGTGCATGTTGACGCGGCCCATCCGACTCGATTCCGACTCCGTACCGATGCGGTCCGATGTATCGCAGTATCCGCTCCGATCCGGTTTACCGTTGCCGAGCTGACCGCTCGCCGCGACGCGGCAGAGGAGCCAGCGCGGCGTTCCAGGTTGAGGGCCCCCTGGGGGCCCGTGTTGGGCCCCGGGTGTCGTGCAAGAGCAGCCCACGGCGTGAAAAACCCGCGCGAAAGACGGATTCTCCAGGGCCACCCGCCCCCTTTTGCAGAGCCGCCCCACGCCGGCGTAAGGCCCATTCTGAGGAGTGCTCCCTTCTTCCACGCACGCGGATGTGGCCGCCCTGTTGCGACGGTCAACAAACTACCGCTCCCGCTGCCACCGGCGCCGCTGCACCGACGAGCATCATCACTAGCACCAGCATGCCACAGCCACCATCGCCGCCACCCCTCCTCCCTCCGTCCTCCTCGTCCTCCACTTCATCCTGCCGGAATCCTTTCGCTCCTCGTCGCCGTCCGCCTCTCCGTGTCCTCCTCATCCTTCCCCTTCTTCCCTCCCTCCACCTCCTCATTTCCATCAAGCTGTGCTCTCCGCCAGAGATCCTGGAGACATCCGGATGTCCCTGGAGGCCATGACAACCGAATCGCCGACACCACGTAAGATGCTCCCCTCCTCCCTTCGGGGGGGACGTCGGCGGCGCTTGCGTGGAGCTGGCGTTCCCCCCGGCTTCCAGGTGCCACGGCGCGGGCGGTCGTTGCCTCCCGTTCCTTCCTCCCCTCCCCTACACCTTAGGCGATGCTTAAGAAAACCTAAGTTTTCGTCCAGAGTCTCGATTATTCTTAATCTTTCAATGTGAATCCCAAAATTTTGATAGAAGTTCTGGGTTTTTATTCAAGTTCTGAGACTCTGAATTTCTTAACCCATGATAACTTAAGCATTTCGCAGGGTGTAGTTCTCTGTCTCGCGTGCACACCTCCGTGCTGGGTCAAAGCTCCCCAAGACACTGGCCGATCAGGACGGACGGGCAAGCCGAGGGCACGCACCCGGTGGGACTCCATCGGGCGCACGCCTATCGATGACGTATAAGTCCCCGAGCTGGGCCCCGACATCGTGGACGCCCATCGATGCCGTAAATCCGTGGTCCTGTCGCACACCCCACAGGATCGGGGATGCGGGTCGCCATGCCCCCCGTCGCCATGCCCCCCGATCTCCTTGCGTGTGTCCTCATCTCGCCTTTCGGCCGGTCCGCAGGAGGGGCCGAAGGGGCGAAGGGGCGGAGGCCTCGCGGCGGAGGGGGCATCTGCAGAGTCACCCCCCTCTCAGGGCAGGGGAGGGGAGGGGAGGGGAGGGGAGGAGGGGAGGGAGGGGGGAGGGAGGGAGGGAGGGGAGGGGAGGGAGGGCAGGGGAGGGAGGGGAGGGGAGGGGAGGGGAGGGGAGGGGAGGGGAGGGAGCAGGTGGAGATTTTCCCCAAGCCTCGGGAGGCGGTGGATACGGATACAGTCGGGCCCCCTAAGGGCCACACTGTGTCCAGATTCACCACCCCCGGGGGGCCCCAGGACACCGATTCCCTGGACGGCAGCTCTGGAGACGTACATACCGAGCAAGTTTTTCAGCACAACATGCTGCACACCTGGAAGGGGGCCACCAGGCCCCCTTCCCTGAACCAAAATGGTTTTGGAATGGAGATTCGGGTTTTAGCGGCTAAGCTTGCACAGGCCCGTGTAAGCGCACGCTGAGCTTTCAGATTCACAGGCATCGCGATGGCTCAACGGCAACCGCGCCTCGCGCTCCGTGGGGCGCGATGCGCGAGGCTAGGTTGCCCAGATATCCGCGCCCCAGCTTCGACGTCTGTTCATGGGAGCCTTGGTTGGCGACGTTGTAATCAGCCGTTCCTGCGTACGCACCGCATTTGACTACACTTGGCCCTCTCCCAGCAGTCCTCGCCCTATGCTCCACCTCCTCCTCCGCCTCGTCCGTCTCGCTCTCCCTTTGTGAATCGGGGGTGGACAGAACCCCCAACAGTTACACGTCGATTAGTGAATTGTCCGTTTTCGGTTCTCGAGAGGGCGCCGTGGCCGTTGTTTTCCAGGCTTGCGCCCGCCAGGTTTGGGCCTCAGGTCGTTTTCACTAAACCACGTTCTACTAAAGGGGGGTCTGTCCATCCCCGAGTGAAGGGGGGCGCATCCGGCCCCAGTCCAGTCCAGGCCCGCGGCGGACGGCGCGAAACGGACACCCCAACCAGCGGCACCGCGGCGAAGGTCTCTTGGCATCGCTCGGACGTGTGCGTTTTTTCCTCGGCGAGGACCATCGAGGAGCATCCTCGACCATTCGGCGAAAAAACCATTTGGCATCCGAGCGATGGCGAGGTCTGCGCGCGGCGGCCGCAGCCTCCGCCGGCGGCCGCGCCGGGCACCGCCGCCACGGCGGGCGCGCGGCCGCGGCCGCCGCCGCCGGCGGGGGGCGGCGCGGGGCTCCGGCTGCTGCTCGTGCGCCACGGCGAGTCCCGCAACAACGCGCTGATGTCGGGCGCTGGCAGAGGCGTCCCCTGCGCCGCCCTATATGTATGTATGTATGTATGTATGTATGTATGTATGTATGTATGTATGTATGTATGTATGTATGTATGTATGTATGTATGTATGTATGTATGTATGTATGTATATATACACATATATATGTAGGTGTGAATCTGTACATAAATCTGATTATATATATATGAAAATCGATTTATATATAACATATATATATATATATATGTGTATAGATTCGTAAACACCCTCCAATGGCTTGCTCTTGGGCCTCAGGAGAGGGTGGCTGAGTACAAATCGCTGCGAGAGCCGGCGATTTTGTACACCGCCGACCTCCCGGAAGCTGCATGTACGATGTTCCTCCAGGGCGTCTCTGCATATGTCTTGGTGGCGTACCTGCCCAGTTCAAGTCTCGCGGGCGAGAGACGCATCTGTATCCACGGCCTTGCGGGCTGGGGGCCGCTGGGCCGCGACCCCGCGGATATGTTCTTATGCCTGTTGTTTTCCCGCGCGGAACGTATCTGTGTGACCGCGTATCTCACGAGAGAAAAAAAACACACAGACACAACTAATCGCCAATTCCCCAGAAAATATAGGAGAATACGGGAGTTGGGCGGGAAGACAGAAACCCAGAAAATACAGGAAAATATGGCGAATCTTTTTATTTGTGTGTATTTATTTGTATGTGCTTGGGCCCTTTGAGTATCCGCGGCGTCGCGCCGCCCCAGAGTCCAGGCCGCGAGGGAGTGGATATGGACGTGTCCGCCGCTCGTGAAGATCTCCGCCGGTGTGATCCGCGGCTTCCTCAGTGCATTTTGTTCCCCGATGTCGACCTTTGTGGTCTGGTCCGCTGTCGGGCCTCGGGGTCCTCAAACGTCAGTTCCAGGACGGGAAGGTGGGGCCACGCACTCAGAGCAAACATCACGATGTCGGATGTCCGGGCAGGTGTGCCCAGCTTTCCCTTCATCCTGCATCCCCTACAGGGCCCGATGGGCCGCGTGCCCGGACATGCGACGCCCTGGTTTGTTCAATACGCGGTCCCCGGAAGTCCCGACCCTTGTCCCTAGGGCGGTCCCTTGTCCTCAGGTCTTCATCCTGAATCGTGTTTGGCGGTCCCAGGGCCCGGCGAGGGCCCCCCGATGCCGAGCGTGGCCAACGCCTCCCGTGCTGATTTTTGTTACGACGATTCAAGTCTGGGCGGTGCGGAGCTCTGTCAGCGAGCGAAGAACGGTATAAAACAAACTTTTTGGCTGTCGGCGGCGCCGGTCCCTGGGCGGCTGGCAGCTTATACCCCTACGGTGCCACCGTAAGGGTATAAACTTTCCAGCCGCCCAGGGACAGGCGCCCCCGACAGTCACCACCCACCAAACCACCCCAACCCAACCCGAAGGCCCAAATTTATCCTCGATTTCCAGTGGGGGGGGGTTGGGGAACATTGAAAAAACACATGGAACCCGTACCCCCCCCAACCCGAAATCCGGGTCAAATTCGGGTCTTAGTTGGGTTGGGGTGGTCTGGTAGGTAGTCAGACAGCGAAAAAGTTTATTTAATACCGCTCTTCGCCCGTTAACTCTGCGGAGGCCGCGGCGGCCTCCCAGAGCAGGTCCTGTGGGGACGCCTCTGGCAGCACCCGGGGGTGGCGGAGGCCGGCATGACGCCGGAGCGGTGGCGGGCGGGGCGGGAGGCCGACCCGGGCCTGAGCGAGGCCCGGGAGTCGGGGGTGGACAGACCTCCTACCCTGACACGTCGATAAAGAAATTGGCCGTTTTCGGTTCGCGAGAGGGCGTCGCGGCCGTCAGTTTTGCGGGTCCAGGTCCGTCGGTTTCGGTCCCAGGCCGTTTTCAATAAGGGGAGGTCTACTAAAGGGAGGTTTGTCCACCGCTGGGGGAGGGCACCAGCTGTTCACAGACACCGATCCTGGCCGGGCACATCCTGGGCCCGCGGGCGGTGGATGCGCCCTGCTGCTGTGGCTCGGGACCGCGGAGCGCTCTTCCAGAGTGCTCGCAGAGTGCCTGCTCACCATCGTCCGACAGTGAAAGCATGTCTTCCTCTATATGTCAGGGGCCGCACATCCCCCGCGGCGGACCTGGGCCATTTGCGAGTAGTTGCTTTGCGAGCTGCGGAACGCCCTGGTGTAGGGGAAGCCGATACAGTCAAGACGCGGAAATGAAGACCACCTCAGGCTCAGGAGGGGCCCCGGTTTTTTCCGGGCTGCTGCTCGGATCCAGGCCGGGGAGCATGTTCGCGGCCGAGGCTCGCCGTGGCCATCCGCGCCCATCCGCTCCTCATCGGACGTTCCTTATAGCAGGCACCACGACTGCACGCCTGCCTTGGGCCCCTTGGGCCCAAGATGTGCCCGGCCAGGATGGCGTGTGCGCACAGTGCGCGCCCTCCGAGAGGCGGGGCTCGGGCAGGCGGAGGCGCTGGGCTGCCTCCTCGGGGGCGGCACGCCCCGGCGCGCGCTGCTCGCCGGGGCGGTCCCGCCCAGCAGGCTGCTCGTGTCGCCGGTGCGTCGTGCCGTGGAGACGCTGCGGCCCACCGCGGAGCGGTTCGTTGGGTAGCAAGTGATGGGAGCCTTGCCTGCTTGTGGTTTCTTAGTGAGCGTGGGGGGGTACCCCCCCGACGGCGGCCAACCTCGCCTCGTCGTCGCGCCGCGACGGGGGTCGGAGCGCCTTTTGCGCGCGGTGGCTGCCCGCGACGGGGGTCGATGTGGGGCTGTCGGCGGGGGTGGCGCCCCCCCGACGCTTATTCAGAAACTCGGAGTACGGTATGTTCGCGTCATGTGGAACAGCAGCGACCCCGCCGCTGGCGTTCCGCGTTGAACGCCGCCAGCGACCCAGAATCGGTCGACGTTGAGCGATGTGACGTTTCAGAACAGGCCGATCGTTCAAGATTGAACGATCTCCGCGGTGTCAGGAACCAACGCCGGGGACGACACGACACGAACCTGCGGTACCGCCTTAATTCCGTCTTTAGCGTCGAGTAGCGTCTGGTGCTCAATGAGTTAGCGCCAAATTAGCGTCGGTTGGCGTCGGTTAGCTTCGATTTAGCGTCGATCACCGTCGGTTAGCGACGATTGCCGTCGGTCATCGAGATGGTAGGGGAGGCTCCCACGAGTTGCTTCCGAAGGCTCGGCCTGGCGCCCGAGGTGTGGACGGAGTGCTTCGAGGTCGGCGGCATCTACCATTCTGGGGGCACCACGAGCCGCGGCCTGGCCAGGTCCGAGCTGCGGGAGCAGCTCCCGGGCTGCGTGCTGCCGGAGGACGTCGGAGGCCTAGAGATTGGCACCAACGCCCGTATCGGCGGCTGCCTCCACCGAGGGAAGGCGGTTCTGATCTCGGTGATGTGGTAAGACTCGGGCTCATCAGCTGACCGAGAGGTTACCACCAGCACCCACATCCAGGATCAGATTCCTCTGGTGGGGGCCCCCCCCGTGAGCGACGAAGGCACACGGGCTCCTCTTCGATGGCAGTGGCGCGCAAGCTGCCCGCAGAACGTCGCGCGTGTGCGCCCTCGCTCCCGGTGCAGCGTGCCGTGCCGGCGGCCCGCGTGAGCCACCGCGTGAGGTCGCCGTGCTATCTTCGGGGGAGCGTCAGACCCGGGTTTGCCAGGACTCGGTTTCGCCATCGTTTTTTGACCACCGCGACTCGGATTTTGACGAGTAGGAGTTTCGTGGGATGTCTGCAGCGGGAGGCCTCGCCAAAATGCAGGCTCGGCCTCGCCATTTTTTCTGACGACCTCGTCGGGGAGTTCCGAGTCCCCTGCACCCGGGTCTTGCGCCCCCACGATATCTCGCGCAGGACCCGCTTCTTTCCGCCGCTCCTGTGTCTCAGGAGCGAAAGAAGGACGTACATGTACATGAATCCACGCTGTTTTCGAGATTTCGCATTGCGCGAATATTCGTATCACGCGGCCGGTCTCGCGGGTCAAGGGGCCGTGTTCATGTACATAGCTGGGCGCGTACGTCCTTTGTGGGCTCCCTAGTGTCGGCGTTGGTTGGTCACGTCCAGGCCCCCGAGGACGTGACCGAGCAGGGCTGGTACGGGCTCGACGGCCGCGAGCCCGCGGACCTGGCGCGCGGGCGCGCCGAGGCCTGCGCGGCGCGGCTGCGGGGCCTGGCGGCGGCCTGCGCGGGGAGCCCCGCGGGCGGCGTCGTCCTGGTCTCGCACCACGATGCGCCGGCCTGCGCCGAACCGCCAGCCCCCTGGGTCCTTTCCTCCTCCTCCTCCTCCTCCTCCTCCTCCTCCTCCTCCTCCTCCTCCTCCTCCTCCGCCCTCGATCGCGCCGCGCTCGGCGGCCCGGGAGCCCCGGCGGGCCCGCACCACCCACCAAACCACCCCAACCCAACCCGAAGGCTCAGATTTACCCTCGATTTCTAGTGGGGGGGTTGGGAAACATAGAAAAAACACGCGTGGAACCCGGTCGGCGGCGAGCGACGGTCAGCGCCCCGAATCATCAGGGGTAACTCGGGTCAGGGATAACTCGGGTTCGTTTTTTTCGGGAATCCAAACCCGAGTTGCCCCGAACCCGAGTTACCCCGGATAACTCGGGCGTCCAGAGCCCCGAATCATCAGGGGTAACTCGGGTCAGGGATAACTCGGGTTCCTTTTTCGGGAATCCAAACCAGAGTTACCCCGGACCCGAGTTACCCCGGATAACTCGGGCGCCCAAGACGGGGGGAAACGAGGAGGAGACCTTCTCAGAAGGCGGCGCGGGACTTCTCAGAAGCCATCGCGTCTTCTGAGGAGTGCTCTGCATCTTCGGGCAAGGCCTTCGGAGCCTCTCGGAGTGCCAGGGGGCTTCCGAGCCTTCTGAGAAGACCTCCTCCTTCTCACTTCCCCCCAGGCTCGTTGTCGCTGCGGCTCGATGGTCCGCTCGGATGTCTTGGATCGGCGCTGGGAACCCTTTACGGCGCCTCATGCGCCGCCCCTGGCGCGCTTCGCGCGCCAGGGAGGGGTTCATCGCGTATCCAAGAGATCCGCACGGATCTCTGAAAGTTTGTCTTCTTCTATGCGTGCCTCTCTTCTCGGGCATTTTGCCGTTTCAGCGAAGCCCGTTGGTGCTGTGGGACCACCAAAAGATCCTAAGACCGTTCTCGACAGGGGCCGTCTTGGGGTCATCTTGTTTTTGTTTCAGGTTCCTAGTGGGCATGCTGGGGCTCTCTTTGGCCGTCGCGGCACGTCTTTGGATCTCTTTTGGGTTGCGCGTGGGGCCTTGCTGGAACCTTCTTGGCCTGTCTAAGGGCTCATCGGGGTTGTCTGGGGGCCCACTCTCGTGATGCCGGAGCAATTCGAATACACACATTCGGCTGGGGGGCGCTTCTAGACTGTTGGGGGGCACTGCTTCGGGGAGCTTTTTCATTCGCCACTTCTCAGCCGATGTTCGACCGTTTCAAGACCCCTTGTGCGCAAACTGGAGACTGCACCGGACCAACATCTGACCCTCAGGCATGATGTGTGGAACGCCTTCTGGGGCTATCTGAGCCAATGTCTTCGCAAGTGGAGCGCTTTGACATGCCAGGGCGTTCTTAGTTGGGTGTCGGGGAGGGGCAATCAACACACAGGCCGAGTCACCCCGTGGGTCGGCGATTTTCCTTAACCTGCTGCTTCGGGCGCTCCTGCGGACGCACGGCTTCACTGGCTTCTCGCACGAGAACGCCAGCTTGACTTGCGTCGACATTTGTGCCGACGGAAGTAGCACTGTCCTCTTCCACAACTTCGTTGAGCATTTGCGCGACGGTTGTGGTCCCGTTGGCGCCCAGTCGCCACCAGCCCCGACGCAGCCCCCGGACGTCCCGCGAGAGGAAAAACCCTCCTCTGCCTTCGCCCTCGTCCTCGTCCTCCTCCCCCGCGCCCCTCCCCCACGCAGGTCCCAGGCCGATCCCGCAGCCGAAGCAAAGCAGCCGCGCGAGCCCCGGCGCGGCTGCCAGCCTCGCCGCCGGGGCGGACGCCGGGGCGGCCCCCGAGGCGACCGCCAGAGGAGGCGGTGGTGCCGGGGCAGCCGCAGCAGGAGCGGCAGGAGGTGGGGCCGCCCGCGCGGCCGCCGGAGCCACCGCCCGCAGGGCCCCAGGGCCAGCATGCAGCAGCGCCCCCGCCGGAGACGGCGGCGGAGCCGGTGGTTGGGCGTTGCGTCATGGAGGGGTCATATAAATGGGGGGGTGGCGAGGGTGGTCCGAAAAGGTACCCAAACGGTATCTAAACGAGCCCCCTGGGGCTCCGGAGGGGCCCGAAAGGGGCAGGAAAGGGGACCGTTTCTGACCCCCCCACTTATGACCCCCCCGTTAAGCCACGCCCAAGGTGGAGCAGCAGCCGATGCATGCGCCGGGGCGGGCCCAAGCAGAGCCCGGCTTGCCCCAGGTGGGGCTGCTGGAGACGCCGCCGGCATCGCCGCGGCGTGCCGCCACGCCTCCGCGGCCCTCGCCGGGGCACTCGCCGGCGAGGCAGCGGCAGCCGCTGGCGCAAGTGCAGCTGGCTGCCCAGCCGCTGGAACAGCAGCAGAGTGCGCCGTCCGCGCGGCAGACGGACCAGGTCGAGGTGGTCGTGGCGCTTGTGGCATCAGAGGAGGAGGTGGTACTGACACTCCCCGTGGACGCCACCGTCGGCGAGTTGCGGCAGGCGTTGGCGAGCTACTTGAGGCAGCCTCCGGTTGCGCGGAGGGCGCGCCTGGTGCAGAAGACCCGCAGCGTCTTCACTGCGCTGCAGGACAGCGACAAGCTGGGCGGCCGGCGGAAAGTCCACGCCATGGGCGTCGACAGCTTGAAGCCCGCGAGGTGGGAGGAGGCCAACTGCACCCCGGACATCGATCCTGGCCAGGGATTCTGCAATGGCATAATTTGTTTGAAGTCCGCGCGGGTTCTTGAATTTGCTTGTGGTGCGCTACACGCGCCAGGGAGGAGGGCCGAGCGCGGATCCCAGAAAAAAACGCGGACCTCCGAACACATCAGCTTATGTTTTCCGTCTTTCTAGAACCAGCGGGTGTTTGGACATTGCGGCCGAGACCACCACAACGCCCAGATTTCGAGGCCCACCGCCTTCAATGCGCCCTCCTGGGGGCCGGGCCTCTGGCCATCAAGACCCCCCTCTTCGGCGCACCTGATGGTCAGGGCCCAGGACCCAGGGCGTATGCACGGATCCCGGTGCAGCTCTCGCGCTCAGGACTTGCAGCCGCGCCCAGCAAGTAGGCCGACCTTGCCCAATCAAGGGCGCTCTTGTACCCTGGGTTTCGCGACCCAGGCCTCCCACATTCCTGTGGCAATGTGGCCCTCAGAAGGGTCTTGTGTCATCTCGCATGTCCTGTCCAATCAGCCTCAGCTGTACTCTTGTCCGTCGTGCAGCCGTCGCCTCCTCCAACGGCGAGGGAGCCCCTGGACGCTGAACGGGCGCGGCAGATGCAGCGGGACCTCCGCGACGGGTTCGCGTCCGAGGCGTTCTGGCCTGACGACGACGACGGCGTCGACGGCGACGGCGACAGCGACGGCAACGGCAACGGCGACGACGGCAACGGCGACAGCGGCGGCGGCAGAGATGGCGGCGGCGGCGGCGACGACGACGACGACGATGACAACGGCGGCGATGGCGGAACTGAAGACGGCGACGGCGATGGCGGCGGCAGCGACGGCGACGACGATGGCGGCTTGGCGGCCGAGGCCTTCCAGCGGCGGCTGCAGGAGCTGCTGGCGCTCCCACGGGGCTCGCCCGAGTTCCTCCAGGGCCGCGCGGTCGAGGTGGCACGAGGGGAGGGGGGGCGAGGAGTGCGAGGCGCGAGGGGTTGAAGGACGAGTGAGGGAGGGAATGATGATGAGCGAAGGGGGGGGGAGGAGGAGGAGGAGGAGGAGGAGGAGGAGGAGGAGGAGGAGGAGGAGGAGGAGGAGGGAGGAGGAGGAGGAGGAGGAGGCGGAGGAGGCGGCGGCGGCGGCGGCGGCGGCGGCGGCGGCGGCGGCGGCGGCGGCGGCGGCGGCGGCGGAGGAGGAGGAGGAGGAGGAGGAGGAGGAGAGGAGGGGGGGAGGGGGAGGGGAGGGGGAGGGGAGGGGGAGGGGAGGGGGAGGGGGAGGGAGGGGGAGGAGGAGGAGGAGGAGGAGGCGGAGGAGGAAGGGAGGAGGAGGAGGAGGAGGAGGAGGAGGCGGAGGAGGCGGAGGAGGCGGAGGAGGAGGAGGCGGAGGAGGAGGCGGAGGAGGAGGCGGAGGAGGAGGCGGAGGAGGCGGAGGAGGCGGAGGAGGCGGAGGAGGCGGAGGAGGAGGAGGCGGAGGAGGAGGCGGAGGAGGAGGCGGAGGAACACGGGGAGGAGGAGGAGGAGGAGGAGGAGGAGGAGGAGGAGGAGGAGGAGGAGGAGGAAGAGGAGGAGGAGGGACGAGCAGGGAGGCTGTAATTATCTGCTTCGAGGCTGAATCGCCGGTTTCGGCCCTCAGGCCTGCAGCACCCTCTGTCGCGTGCGCCTCCGCCCGTGGGCTTTCGGGCTTTCGCGGCTTGGGGGCGGGTAGGAGTTCCACAGCCCCGTCGTGCTGGGCTCGCACGCGCGCCGCCGCCTGCGTGCCCCCAGGCGTCGTGCGCCCACACTTGCGCCGCGAGGCTCACTATTCGGAAGTCACTCGCTGGCACTTCGCCGTCAATTCCGTCAAGTCCAGCGTGCCCCCAATCGCTCAGCGGCTGCCGCCAGGCTCCATGCGCTACACCATGCATCGCCCAGCTCGCGCAGCTCCAGGCTCTCGCCGAGCAAATGCCCAAGGCCGACGCCAGACGCTGGGGCGCACCCAGCTCCTTGTGACACACCGGGCACGCGTCGCTGCCGTGATGGCCATGCTTTGGCCACCTTGCCTCTGCGGGCACGCGCGCGGTCAGCCACCGACCACGCCCGCGAGCACCTCGACATGCTCGTCTCCCACGGCGCCCAGCGCAGCCGAGGAGAAGGCGGCGGCCGCGGACGCAACAACGGGGGAGGGAGACCAGGGAGGAGGAGGAGAGGAGGTGGGAAGGACGACGAGGAGTGAGGAGACGGCCCGGAGGCCAGCCTGGAGCGGGGCGCGCGGTGGAGCCTCGGCTCCATCCACCATGCTTTCTCCTATGCGTCTTCTCGCAGCTTGCTCTCGCAAAAAGAGTTGTGTGGTGAATGTGCTCGTAACGGCGCGCCACCTGGACCCAGATAGCTCTGCGCGTCTTGTCTCTCCAATCGGCTCCCACAACAATGCACGGTACGCCCAAACATCATAGGAGTTCTGTATGTCTTCGTCATGGGTTGCCGCAGAACAGGGGGGCTCGAGGAGATCCCATGCGTTGCCGAAGGAGGGCATCAGCAGAAACCTTCGGCGGTCTGCGCGCTTTTTTGGGGTCGACGCTGCCCCCCGCCGTTGGCGGCACCTCCAGCGCTGACGCAAGAGATCCGCGCGGATTTCCAAATCTGTATGTTTGATCCGGTGCTTCTTCTTGTAGCGGGCGGGGGGCAGGTCCTGGCGGTGCACCAGCTGGTGCTGCCCAAGTACGGCTTCGACGCGAGCCCCCGGGCGCTGCGGGAGGTGCGCGAGCTGCTGGAGCACCTCGCCCAGGGCGACCCCCAGATCACGCAGGTGGACCCTCCGACCTCCACGCCCGCCCCAGTCTTCATCCCTCTCTCCCTCCCATCCTCGTCCCTCCCCCCCTCGCCACTCTCGCCCCTCTCTGCGGTTTCTGCCGCGGCGCGGTCTCGTCCTGCTGCTGCCTCCTCCCTCGCCGTCGTGCCTGCGGGGCTCCGTAAAGGGGAAGGGCAGGGGCCCCGGCGGCAGAGTCAGACAGCGGTTTGTCCGGGATGGGGTGCGCTGTCACGAGTCCTCTGGAGACTTCGGCGGTCCCTTGCCTTGGCGCCCTGGCCTTCCTCGCTGTCCGAGGAGGAGCATTGACCCATACCGCTGCCCTTCCCTCGTTTTCGCCCTTTTTGGGGGGCCTCCTGGGAGGCCCTCAGTCGCCACCGCTGGATTCGCCTCGAAGTCCTGCTCAGAACGCCCCGCGGCAGAGGTCCGGGGCGTGGCGCTGTCGGTACGTTTGTGGTCTCCCCCTCCCCTCCTCCCTCCTCCTCCTCCTCCTCCCTCCTCCTCCTCCTCCTCCTCCCTCCTCCTCCTCCTCCTCCTCCTGGTGTGCAGCCGCGGCTGGGCCGTCCCTCAGCCTTCCCTTCGAGGAGCCGGTCCGTGGCCGAGGCTCGCTGTGGAGGGAGTAGCCCCCTCGTTGTTGATGCTGCTCTCCTGAGGGTACAGCTTATGCGATGCTTAAGAAAACCTAAGTTTTCATCCAGAGTCTCGATTATTCTTAACTTTTCAATGTAAATCCCAAGATTTTGATAGAAGTTCTGGGTTTTACTCAATTTCTGAGACTATGAATTTCTTAACCCATGATTTCTTAAGCATTTCGCAGGGTGTACAGTCGGGGCACTGAGGAGGGAACCCTTTTCGTTGGGGAGGGGCTCGGTGTTCCTTGATTGTTTCGCAGCTTGCCTCGGGTGTTCCTTAGGTTTTCGAGGGTACGGCTCTCCTGAGGGTACGGCTGCACCAGAGACCACGGCCTGCAGTTTGCAGTCGGGGCCCTGAAGAAGGAACCCTTCTCGTTGGGGAGGGGCTTCGTGTTCCTTGATTGTTTCGCAGCTTGCCTCAGGTGTTCCTTAGGCGTTCGATGGGAAATCGAACTTCAACTGATGGGAAAGAGGGGCCTCGCTCCTTATTTAGCGTTCCTTAGGTCAACGCCCCCACTGTAGGTCTTGACATCGGCGGGCCGTCTCTTCAGCGGCGGGTGCTGTCAGGATCCAGGCAGGGGTCCACTGGCGATGGCCTGAGTAGGGAGTTGCTGTGTCATTGGTGGTTCCTTCCCTCCTCCTCCTTCCTCCCTGCCCTCCTACCCGTCTCCCCTCTTCATTCTCCATCTCTCTTCTCTCACCTTCTTCCATACCTCCTCCCCCCCTCCTCCAGCTCTCCTCCTTCCTCCCTCACGCATCCAACCTCGTCGTCCTCCCTCCTCCGTCCCCAGCCTGCATTCCCCAATGCCTAACGCTCGGCGTTTGCTTGTTACCGCAGGGCTGGCGCTTGCATCTCCGCCGCGTCCAGTTAGGAGGCAGAACGGGAGAGAGGAGAGGACGAGGGAGGGGGAGGAGGGGGAGGAGGCTGAGGCGGAGGTGGAGAGGGAGGGTGAGGAAGAGGAGGGGGAGGGGGAGGGGGAAGGGGGGGAGGGGGGGGAGGAGAGTGAGGGAGAGGAGGACAAGGACGATGAGGCGGAGAAGCAGCACAGGGGGGGGGACGCCCAGAGATCCCCGACTTCCTGCTTTCCTTTCCTGACGTGACCCACCCTGACCTCGCAGCTCAGGGGGCGAACGTTTCGCCGCGCGCGGATCTGCCTCGACTGCCCCTGGGCCCGGGGAAAGAGGTGTCCCCGAGTCCAGCGCTGGGGGGAAGGCGGGCCAGCTCGGCACGGTCGGACTGGGGCACACGATGGAGGTCGGCTCCGCAAGGGGTTATACGGATGCTCTTCGTGGTTGTTGTTGGATGGTCGTGTGCATCCTGGGGGAGGGTACTCCAGATTTCGTAATGGAGGAGGAGGAGGAGGAGGAGGAGGAGGAGGAGGGGCGGGGGCAGGTGGGGTCTCATTTCGGGGGGGGTCTGGGTCTCATTTCGGGGGGGGTCTCTTCCAGGCCATCTTGAAGGGCCTGGGGGGGCCTGGGGACGACGTTTTGGAGGGTTCGCCCACGGGGGGGGCTCTGAAATGGCTTGTCTTGGAGGGTCCAGACCCCCTCCCTTTTATTACGAACTCTGGAGTACCCTCGAGAGTTCTACAGTCTGGCCGGCGGGGGGTCTCACGTTCTTGCAGGATGTTCCGCTCCTTGATCCGCGGCGTTGGAGGTGCTGGGCAGAGCCTGTTCAAATCGCCATCCCCAGACCCCCTCTGCGGTCTGGGGATGCAGCGAGGGCTTCCGACGAGGATTTCTTATTCTTCTTCTTATCCGTAAATAGGCTTCGCCACCTGCCGCCGGCCCCATATAATGGGATATCAGAGTCGCGTCCGTGCGTCTCGGCGCTGCCTTAACGCATCTGGGAAAATGTGGGGGCGGACCGGAATCATCATTTTATATTGAGAGGTCGGCGTTATCGAAGACGCCTACGGCGAATCACCGCCGCCCCCTGCCTTTTTGGAAGCGCCGATGTGGCCGAACGTTGAGGCCAGACCTGGCCGTCTTGGAGGTCATCTTGGAATGCTCCAGGGCCGTCTTGGAGGCCATCTTGGGCGTCTTAAAGGCCTCCTGGGCCGTCTTCGGGGCCTCTTGGGGTCGTCTCGGGGCCCTCTTGGGCCGTTCTGGGGCCATCTTGGAGGCCTCTTGGGCGATCTTTGGGGGCTCTTGGGCCGTCTCGGGCCGTCGGAAGGCCGAAATGAAGCAAATGTCAAAGTCCTTCGAAAACCTATGGACAATACATGTTTGTGGCCTTTTGCTGGCCTTCCTGGAGGCCCTCTTGGAGGCCTCGTGGGCCGTCTCGGGCCAGCTTCGAGCCACCTTCGGCCATCTTGGTGGGCTCCTGGCCCGTCTGACGCCGTCGGAAGCCGTTTGGGGGGGATTTGGGGCCCTCTTGGGGTGCTCCAGGGCCGTCTTAGAGGCCGTCTGAGGCGTCTTGGAGGCTATCTTGGCCGTCTTGGAGCCCTCTTGGGGCCGTCCTGAGGGCCTCTTGGGCCGTCATGGGGCCGTCTTGGAGGCCTCTTGGGCGATCTTGGGGCGATCTTGGGGGCCTCTTGGGCAGTCTTGAGCCGTGAGAATGCCGAGAAGAAGCAAATACCCAAATCCTTCAAAAACTAATGGAAAATTAATGATTCTGGCCTCTTCGGGCTCTCCTGGAGGACCTCCTGGAGTCCTCTTGGGCCGTCTTGGAGGCTTTTTGACCGAACTTGGAGGTATCTTGGACTCTCTTAGGCCGTCTTGGGGGAGGCCGTCTTGGACCATCTTGGGCGGACTTGGAGGCCATCTTGGATCTTTTTGGAAGCCATCTTGGCCGTCTTGGAGGCCATCTTGAGCCGTCTTGGAGGATTTGTTGCGGACGTTGAGCTCGTTTGCGGGCCTGGAGCTCCCTCCGGGGACCCCGGCGCTTCGGCGGGACGCGCCGGAGCCCCAGGGGGAAGAGTTCTTTTGGAAAAGAACCAAATACAAAACCGAAGTCATCTAGCACGGCAGGCACCCCTGTGATGAATCTACAGGGGGCGGCGAATTATCGAAGACGCCTACGGCGAATCACCGCCGCCCCCTGCCTTTTTGGAAGCGCCAATGTGGCCGAACGTTGAGGCCAGACCTGCCAAGCTATCAGACCATGTGTTCCCCGAATCGGTTTGGAAAGCCTTCGGGGAACACGTGGGCATCTTGAAGGTCATCTTGGCCGTCTGGAGGCCATTTTCACCCTTTCGGGCCTTCTTGGAGGACGTCTTGGAGGGCTCTTGGGTCGTCTTGGAGGCCATATTGCGTCTGGGATCTCTTTGGCCGTCTTGGGGGCCTCTTGGGGCCGTCTCGGGCCGTCGGAAGGCCGAAAAAAAGCAAACGCCTCAATACCTCAAAAACCAGTGGGAAATCAATGATTTGGGCCTTTTCGGGCCTTCCTGGAGGCCCTCTCGGAGGCCTCCAGGAAGGGCCACCTTAGGGCCAGGTTCGGCCGTCTTGGTGGGCTCCTGGTCCGTCTGACGCCGTCGGAAGCCGTTTGGGCGGCCTCTCTGGGCCGATTTGGGGTCCTCTTGGAATGCTCCAAGGCCGTCTTGGAGGCCATCTCGGGCGTCTTAAAGGCCTCCTGGGCCGTCTTGGGGGCCTCTTGCGGTCGTCTCGGGGCCCTCTTGGGCCGTTCTGGGGTCATCTTGGAGGCCTCTTGGGCGATCTTTGGGGGCTCTTGGGCCGTCTCGGGCCGTCGGAAGGCCGAAAAGAAGCAAATGTCAAAGTCCTTCAAAAACCTATGGACAATACATGTTTTTGGCCTTTTGCTGGCCTTCCTGGAGGCCCTCTTGGAGGCCTCGTGGGCCGTCTCGGGCCAGCTTCGAGCCACCTTCGGCTATCTTGGTGGGTTCATGGCACATCTCACCCCGTCTTGGGGGCCTTTCTGGGCCGAATTGGGGCCTTCTTGGGGCGCTTCGGGGCCGTCTTGGAGGCCATCTAGGCCATCTTGGGCGTCTTGGAGGCCTCTTGGGCGGTCTTGGGGCCCTCTTGGGGGCCTCTTGGGCCGTCATGGGGCCATCATGGAGACCTCGTGGGCGATCTTGGGGCGATCTTGGGGGCCTCTTGGGCCCGTCTTGAGCTGTCGGAATGTCGAGAAGAAGCAAATCCCAAAATCCTTCAAAAACCATTGGAAAATCAATGATTCTGGCCTCTTCGGGCCTTCCTGGAGAATCTCTTGGAGGCCCTTTGGGCCGTATTGAAGGCCTCTTGGGCCGTCTTGGGCCATGTTGAGGCCATCCTGAGGCTATCTGAGCCCGTCTTCGGTACATCTTGGGCCGTCTTGGAGGCATCTTGGGACCATCTTAGCCGTCTTGGAGGCCATCTTGGGGCGTCTTGGAGACGTCTTGGAGACCATCCTGGGCCATCTTGGCCGTC